GACTTCCTCTGTCTCACCAGATTCGTCAGAGTCAATGTCCTTTTTGGGGCTTGCACACTCACAAGTCTCCAGCTTCTCGTTTATTCTTTTGTTTTCGTCTTTAAGTGCCTCATTTTCCTTTTGAACTTGTTCAACCTTCTTCTCTACAACTTCTACAAACAAAACTAATAATTATGCAAAAAAAGGATATTGCCAATATGCTTTCAAATCAGCCTCTGTTCATTATTTTATTTTATTCGTACACTTCAGAATTATAAGATGTTCTAGATAAACATGTACCATTTAATAGTTTAATTATTATTATAAAGAGGGGCCTCGGTGGCCGAGTGGTCTAAGTAGTTACTACTGTAATCACTAGCCAGTCAACACTGAGGTTGTGAGTTCGAACCCCGCTCGTGCGGGTGCACTCGACTCCAATCTTAATTGACTAGGATTGTCAGTTTTCCTATCGAAGGTCGGTGGTTTTCTCCGGGCACTCCGGCTTCCTCCACCAATAAAAACTGGCCGCCACGAAATAGCCCAAAAGCGGTGCTTAAAAGTGGCGTTAAAACACCAAAAATCAAATCAAATTATTATAAAGTATGGTGGTAGTGTTATTTGGTTTACAAAAACATGAATATACGAAGGGGGTAATAAATAACCATAACTCGGAGAAAAAGAAACACCATGGTCAAAATAAAAAAAAAACAATCAAAACCCACACTCAGCTACTCTGGAGGACGGTCAATTTTAATGTCACATAAAGTAGGGATAGTGCAACGTTCTCATGACGATCTTTGCAACAATTATTTAAAGTAGCCTGTTGTAAGGCAAAACTTATGTATCTTTCAAAATACCTTAATTGTCCTGTGGTAGTCTTAATTGACCGCCGTTCCTCTCGATCAACCGACCTTTCAGACCATATATGGAAGCTTGATTGGCCCTTTGAGTCATATTTTAGGTCAATTAAGAATTAAAAAGTAAAAAATATTACACTTTTGTATGTATGTTTTAGTTTTGTTATATCTTTTTGTTAATAACTAATATCTTTATTTATTATAATTGATAAATGATTAGAAATTAAAAATAAGGTGTATAAGTTATTTTCCAAGCGTCTTGACAAGACTTGATTTCCTTATCAAGCAGTTTATATAATGTCGTTTTCACACAACGTTATAAAGTGGTCAAAAGTCGGAAAATTGGAACAGACTGATAATAGTTATAGAAGGAAGTTATTAAAGAATTGACTGATTTATGATAAAGGCTATCGCCGTAATAAATGGGATAAAAACTTTTGATGGAAAAGAGTTTTTAAAAGTTACGTTTCTCATCGGCAACACGTGGTGGCATATTTGCAATGCCAACAATCTGGAAAATCTCTGGTGGGTAATAAGACAAAAACACGAATATACGAAGGAGATAATAAATAACCATACCTCGGGAAAAAAGAAACACCATGGTCAAAATAAAAAAACCCAATCAAAACCCACACTCAGCTAATCTGGAGGACGATCAATTTGATGTCGCATAAAGTAGGGATATTGCAACGTTCTCTTGACGATCTTTGCAACAATCATTTAAAGTAGCCTGTTGTAAGGTCAATTAAGAATTAAAAAGTAAAAAATATTACACTTTTGTATGTATGTTTTAGTTTTGTTATATCTTTTTGTTAATAACTAATATCCTTATTTATTATAATTGATAAATAATTAGAAATTAAAAACAAGGTGTATAAGTTATATTTCCAAGCGTCTTGACAAGACTTGATTTCCTTTTACATTTTTAAAATGTAAACAGATTTGTCAAAAAGTACTTCATTATCACATGGAGTTTAAAAAAACGTCTGGTTTTCAAGAAAAATAACTCTCGAACTGTAAATGTCAAAACCATCAAAATGGAACTTGAACTGTATAATCCATGACATTGTATTCAAATAAATACCAAAACCAAAATTTAAATTGAATGTGACCTGTATTTTATGCTACATAACATTGTGTTAAAATGTAAATGTATAATCCATGACATTGTATTCAAATTACATAAGATTTTATCAAGTGCTACTTTAATTAACACTTGAAAACAAAAATAAATCATATTTTATGTAACTAAAGGGCATAAATCTTTAAACAGTAAATATCAAAATCATAGAAACAAAGCTTAGGCTGTATTTCATGACCAATGAAGTTGTGGTATTTTAATTATCATTTAGAAACCAAACTTGAGACGGACGGACAGTGTGATAGATATGGTCGTGTCTATAATTATACCTCATCCCCTTTTCTCCGAGGCGGATATATAATATCAAAAGTTTGTGTTTTACAACATTTGAACATATTTGTGGCCTTCTATGACATAGATTCCACAACGCAATATACTTTTAAAATTATAAAAAGCGGTTAAATTTTGTATTTAAAAGGTATGTGTATTTCTTTTCATTTTTTTAGTTTGCGTAATTTTATCGCTTATACGATTGGACGCTTCGGGTGAGTAGCAACATCATCTTGCCATTTCAACTTAACTTGAACTCAAAGGTTATGGAACATTGATCTTTCTGTCAAAAACTCATGCATTGATGATTTTGCAAACTAAAATGTTATATGGGAGACAACTAATCAATGGGAACCACATGTCAATGTCATGTTAAGGCAGAAAAAAATGGATAAGTATTCATGGGCTTGCGTCTCTAATGATTTGATATTTGATAGAGGTGTGTTTGCTAACACGAATGGTTTTTTTTTCTATTCTAGAGTTCTTAAAAAGATTAAGTTGAAGTCATGTCTTTGAATGTTTAAAGATGCCATCATGATTTTGATCAACAATACAGAATCTATGTCTTTAAGATTATAAATGGTAACTACTATCATGGCTATGTTGAAGCACCCAGTTGATCATCTCTTGGTCAAATTTTAACCGAGGGTAAAATACGATCGTAATCCTTGGGTTAAATTTAACTCATATAATAGGTCATTTTCTTAAGGTATCTAAAGTTCGATACAACCTATTTTTCGTTTTTTTATGACCATTAGCAATACACATGTCTATTTTGATATAATCAAATCGTAGCCACTATTATGTCATAATTTTTCTGAAGGTTTTTATAACCAGAAGATTAAATAAGCAAATGAATATATCACATTATATATATTGCAGAAAACCTTACCGAGTCGGCTTAAAATGGCAGCTATTTCGTCTTCAGTAATCACTGCTTTGCAATTAGGAATTAAGATTAGCAATCCTTGTACAAGAATTGTTAGCGTGACAAACATAATTTGATGTTGTTCAGTAACACATTTAACCAAATCTTATTCCTTGAGATAAAATGTAGGATGCCTGTTGATTAATCAAATCTATAGATACGAGCAGACTTATTGTATCGTCTGTGTTATTGGTGACTTTTGTAATGTTAATTGTGTTTTGAGTATTGTGAAAATATTGTATAAAGTTCAATATTGCATGTTAGTTACGTAGGCGCGTCACTGTTTTTGATATCCTGTGGTGTTTGTCGTTGATGGAGTATGTTCGTTGTTGTTCTGCGGTTTGCATGTTGTGTCGATTATTATATTATTTGTTTGTGCGTTTCTATGTGATGAATGCGTGTGTTTGTGCTGTATTTCTGTCACGTAGTGTTGTCATTTTAGCGATATTTTTCAACATTGTCATAAAGCAGGAGGTTTGGCTAGCCATTAAACCAGGTTCAAGCCACCATTATTTCTTAAAATGTCCTGTACCAAGTCAGGAATATGGCAGTTGTTATCAAATTGTTCGTTTTTATGTATGTTGACGTTTGTTTTTGTTACACTTCAGTGTTCCTGTTGTTCCTTTGTTTTCCTCTTATAGTTGATGTGTTTCCCTCGGTTTTAGTTTGTAACTCGGATTTGTTTCCTCTCAATCGATTTATGACCTTTGAACACCGGTATACTACTGTTGCCTTTATTTTGAGCTCCTGCCTATATGATGAGTTAAGCAATTTCTAACTAATTTCAATTTAACAGTTTGTTCTTATGTTGGACTGTTACGCCACTATCCCAGGTTAGAGCGAATTCAATATGTGCCTGTCCCAAGTCAGCAGCCTGTAATTTCGTGGTTCTTGTTGGTTGCTGTCCGTCATATTTGTTTTTCGTTTTTTTTTGGGGTATAGCTGACTATACGGTATGATCCTTGTTGAAGGCAGCACGGTTGCTTAAATCCACGTTATTTGGATTGTGTCATTTGCAACCATATGCATATCACATTTTCTTACTTTATTGGTTTTGCAGTGTTACTTCGATGATGTGCATATACAATATTGCACTGAAGTGTGTTATTTAATTAAATTCATAGTGTTCAAAATCAAATGAATAATTAAAAAATGTTTTACCTCAGAGGTTAAGTCTTTTCTCACAACCAGACCGTTTTGAGTTATAAGAAATGAAACATTTTCTTATAAGAAAATGTACACACATGAAATGGGAATTTTGGACCACACTGAAATTCGCGAACCAAAACCCTATTTACTTGCATTGATTTATATGCCACTCTTGTATCTGTCTTATGTACCACATTCGACCAAAAAGTGTGGCTGAGATCAATTCTAAAATTTTCATAGTCAAACCAATGTTCCCGACATGATCAGTTTCCAATTCTAGAGATTCCTCGAACACGACTATATTCTCTTTACTCACACCCTAATACGGCAAGTATACCATGATAATACGACTAAAAGTACCTCTCTTCAACATGTATACAAGTTCTACGGTCTACATCATGAATTGTTGGTCGTTACAGTGTCCATAAAGTTTCTCAACTTATAACAGACAATTAAACTCTGTTGTAAATTCGCAATGTCCACTACCGTCTGTTTGATATTAATGTCAATATTTTTATGTTTTTTTCTTTTTTTCTTTTAATATTAACAATTACTACTCGATATGAATCGTTATACTTTCTCTATATATAACATATATAGTTTTTGGTTCTATTCAATAGAACTTGACCTGTAACATCATTATTCAAATGATTTTTTTTTAATTTGTTATTTTACTTTAACCTACACTGAAGCTGTCAAAAAATCCTCATCATATATAACATACTATAAATTTTGTACATTGACACTTTTTTTCTTTTTCAAAAACTATGAAAAATAAAATGGATTGTTTAAGATTTTTAAAAATGGCTTTTAAAACAATATGTGATTAGCGGGTAAATTTTTTTTGACACTTTATGTGGTTCCGAATATCCATCAAAAAGTCACTTAGCGTATTTGAAGTTTGAATAACATTTAACTGTGTATGACTGTAATGAAACATAAATTCAAAGAATGGTCGCTTATGTAACAGTGTCGCATGGCACGTTTTGATATATGCGAGAAAAATACTTGAGTTTGCTTGTAGTAACCAAAAAGCATATGTCTCTCATTTGATGTATGTTCATCTTCAAAATAGAGTCACTTCCCAACACTAAAGACAAGAATCAAAATTATTGAAAAAGGCCAAATAAACTCGGAGCTTGACTATCATCTTAAATGATTAAGTCAACACATGTAGTAACGTAGTAAGGGATATACCGTATACCGTATACCATTAGATACGCATGTGATGTATGATATTAATTTTGATATTTGAATATTCATAATTTGTTTTTTTTAGTATCATTAGATCGAATTGTTCTCCTTAAGTATAAACACCCTGGTATCTAGTGGTAGACACTGCTTTGTAATTGGATTATAAATGTTTTGATATATCATTGAAATACTTTAGATTTCTCGTATACAAATAGATAATAAAAAGGGGAATTGATACTATGGGGACAATAAAACAAAATACAAGGTTAACGAAAGATATACAAAACCGTGGACTAAAGGAGAAACAATAACTGGACGCTGAAGATTGAGCAAAACGAACCCTTCCCAAACACAACAAAACACAAACCTGAAGTGCTGAAGTGCTCCGGAATATTCAGCATACTCTGCTGCATTAGTTACACCCTTCGTATAACACATATTAAAAAAACCATGTGTTATTCAACACAAAACATTTAACCCTTTGAAACAAAGTTAGTGAATTCCGTTTCTCTGGAAGGATAGCTTTCGCTTTGCTCATGACATGGTAAATGCCACGTCATGAACAAACACAAGAAACCGTGATGTGCCAACGAAAAGCAGAACATATATCTTAGAACATCTATGACAAAGATGCTTTATCATAATGGTTAACTATTTCATGAAGGCGTCAGTTAAACCTTCGAACAGTTGGAGTTCATGCCACAATTCGGTGTTTCTGTCAAATCCGTGGTCTTTTCTGCTAAACTGTTGAAATATTCACACCTTTTTATACATTGATGAAGACATTACCCTCGAGATTTTTATTATATATGTCGTTTGGCTTGCTAGTTCATAGAAGTTTATATTACCATGATAACCAAACATAATCATATATTATATTTGAAGAATGCATGCCAAAATCGAAACTATTTCTCCAGAAGACCATGTTAAAACAACCATCGTCTTATTCCCTTTTAAATACGCTGAAGGGTCACATCAGGTTATAATAAACTCAACATAGATACCATAGATTAAAATTGTGTACGGCCGATGCGCGTTTCATCTTACATTAGTAGATTGAAAGCATTTATATTATTTATTATTGCATGGTCAACCCAATAAAGTTTGTGATATTTTTATTTCAGTAATTGTATATCCGGGATTTCTCCATAAACATACTAGTACTATAATGAAAGTACAAAAATATTTATTATTATTTCCTTTCAAATCACATCGGGAAAAGAAGAACAGCTGCAAAACAATTATAAAAATAGTTTGTTGATCCATCAAGTTCATGACCACTATATCCAGGGTACGTTCGTAACCACACCATATCACCCTGCTCAAGAACGTATGGCAATGTTCTACTTTGTGACGAATAGTGACCAGCTGATCGAGAATCAGCATACATGACAGCAGTTCTCTGCCCATTCTTTACTAACTCAAGTGCAACGTACTTTCCTGCTGCTGCTGTAATGGTAGCTGATATTAAATACATCCCTTTCATTGGCGCGATGAAGTGTCCATGGCGGGCGTCATATGCGTTTCCTTCATTCGTAATAACTTCATCATATTCGATAGCTTGATGTGATCCTAGACTGGTAATAGTCTTTGAGAGGCCAGCTGCAAAGGCTACTTTCAATGGTGGTGTTGTCGATGTCGGTGCTGAGGTTATAAAGCAATACATATTTGAATGCAAGTACATTGTAATGATTTTTCAAATAGAATTTTTCTTCTTTTAAATGCAATAAGAAAACTAAAAGCCTTTTCAAAGGGATTTATATTTAATTCGTTTGAATTAATACAACTATGAGCATTATTGATGACTGTTATTTTGGACCTGCTACTGTAAAATTTTTACCACTTGTTTCTGTTTGGTTTAAATCAATTCACTTGTTGATAGTGTTTTTTAAGTTCGTGTCTTTCTATGCTATTTATTACATTTCTGTATAAAATGTTTTTGAAAGTACGTTTTGATATAGAGTATGAAATTTCTATTTTTCTATCAGCTGATGAAATATTTTACAAGGTGCTTTTTCTCTGTTTGCTTATTATTTTACAGAATGAAACCATTATTTTATGAACACAGTTTAATCGATTTTTTTCCGAAATGGTTTTCTATGTAGAATTAATTGTCATTTAAGACTTACTATCTATTAGTAATCGCTTGATAATCGAAGTTCTCTTGGTTTCCTTAGAAACAAATTGTTTTCTATAATAATTACTGATCTCCTTTTTTGCGCCATTTCCCTTACTGATCTCCTTTTTTGCGCCATTTCCTTTACTGATTTTGGAATTGTTTTTGTGGTCATTCGAAGGAAGGAAATTAACTGTGTTATCTCGAACTTCATCTGTTCGGTCATGTACCAGAAGATATTCTTTTAAAATTAGTTTGATGTGTATATTTTCAACCCGCAGGAGTTCATTTTCTGCTTCAAGAGTTTTAACTTTGCTTTCAACATTTTCTACAAGAAAAAAAACAACATTTAACATAACTTTGTATTTTTTTTTATAAAAGCTTTGACTATTTGTCCGGGAAGACTTTCAAATACATGTGACGGCAACTTGTATGGCTATTGATGTTTATCAAACTATAATAATGCTTTAGAAGACTATTATTGAAGAATAATTAGACAGACAACAACTAAATGCAAATAATTTATTTTCATAACGGTATATTTTTAATTCTCACTTTACATATCTAAAATAATACTCTTTGAAAGTTTATTTGACTAGTCCTTCATGTATTTGATTATTTCAATTGATCATTTCATGTCTGATAAAAAAAATATCATCATTAGTCTGCAGATGAAGAAAATTAATATAATTTATCTGAAGACAAACAACTTCAATATGTTTAGTCATGAGATAACAGTTTATAGATTTTAAAAATGTAATGCGTGTGCGGACCATTACCTGACAAATAGCCAGAATTGTTTTTCTTCTTGTTAGCTGGACAAAATGTCTTTTGAGTTGATAATATTAGTCTGTTACACAGCAAGTGACATTGCTTTTTTTTCTTCTTTTTTTTCTCTATACGGACGAATTTTGTTTCTTTGATCTTGAACATCGGCTAGTGAAAACTGAATGAATTTGTTGAATTAACTGAAAGCACTCGCAAACATAACCTTCAGTTACATTTCTTATGGAAAATTGTCGCCAAATACAACTACATGCCACTATTTGCTTGACAAAATGATCTTGGTGTGATTTTGCAAAATTTACATCTTTTAGTAAATCCTTCACGATGAAGCAATTTAAAAAAAAAAGATATACTAAATTTGCGGGGAAATCTTTCAGTATTATTTAAGAGTAATGTGATTTTTATTTCAATTTTCTTTAATTTTAAAGGAATGAATATTAATCTTGAAGGCAAAGAAGTGGGAAATTGGCACTCCCATGAAACACATTTTTTACCATAGTGTGTACTACTTTTGTAAGATATCGTCATATTTTTAAACCACCTCTGGTCTCGTGGTAGCATGTTCGCCTTTAGTTCATGAGGTCATGGGTTAGACCGAGTCAAACAAAATACTTTAAAATTGATATTTGCTGCTTCTCCGCTAAGCACACTGCATTAAGGAGTAAGAGCAAAGACTTGGACTCATAATAATGTTTCCGGGTATGATGACATTTCTTCCTGCGGACTGTTACCTTATAAACGAGCACGTTAAAAACGGTTTAGTGTGTCGGTCTAGTAAAAAGCAGGGAAAAATATCAATATTACATTAAAATGTTCTCGTCCTGAATATGCATTTTATTTGCCCTTGATGTTAAAATCTTTCATCATCATATCTTAAAATTTTATATTCGAAAGTTGAATTTTAAAGAGTAAAATATCAAAATATTTTTAGATTTAGTTTACTCACCAAGTCGACGCAGAATTGCAACAATTTCTTTGTCAGTACTTTCTGCATCGCAAAAAGATATAATTGAAATCAGAACACCTACAAGTAATATCAGAAATGTATACATAGTTGTGTCAAATGTTGTCCCAGACAAGAAATGAACAGGTACATGTACATAGTAAGTGTGATAAGATAAAGTCAAACATATTCTAAAATTATCTTGTCTGAAATATAAACCATACCTCCCACAAAATATTATTTAAAACAATGCATGCATTTTATTGTTTGTGTTTACTGAATTCACAAAAAAAATGATTTGAAATTTGAATCCTATAATGAAAACTAAATGTGATCATTTGAACAAGGAAGGCAGGACATCGATTCTAGTTAAAATAAAAGAATGCGTATGAATATAATTACAAAATGAAAACAACACTAACAAATGTACAAACGAGTGCGTATTGCTTTGTGTTTGTTTATTCCACATTGGCTAGAAGTATAGGGGGAGGTTGAGATCTCACAAGACATGTTTAACCCCGCCGCATTTTTGCGCTATCCAAAGTCGAGAACCTCTAGCCTTTGTTAGTTTTGTGTGGTTTTTAAGATTTTTATTCATTTGTATGTTTTGGAGTTTAGTGTGGCGTCCATTTCGCTG